TCAGAATTTCAAAAGATAATGAATGATATTTTCAATCCCTATTTGGATTTCATCATAGTTTATATTAATGATATTTTGGTTTACTCAAAGACTCTTGAAATGCATATTAAGCATTTAGACATTTTTAAGAAAATAGTTATTCAAAATGGTTTGGTCATATCTAAACCTAAAATGAGTTTTTTTCAAACAGAAGTTAGATTTTTGGGACATTTGATTTGTCAAGGAAAAATGACTCCTATTTAGCGATCCATTGTATTCGCATCGAAATTCCCTGATATTATTATAGATAGGACGCAAATGCAGCGGTTTCTGGGAAGTTTAAATTACATTTCCCCCTTCTACAAAAATTTGTCTCGAGATTTAGCTCTGTTATATGACAGGCTAAAAAAGGATCATAAGAAGCCTTGGACTTATAGTCTCACAGATCTTGTAAAGACTATTAAAGAAAGAGTTAAATTTTTACCTTGTTTAATCCTTGCTAATCCTGCTTGGCCAAAGATTGTAGAGACTGATGCGTCTAATATTGGGTATGGAGGTATATTGAAACAAATTAATCTGCATGATAAAAATGAATATCTTATTTGATTTCATTAAGGAAAATGGAGCGATGCTCAGAAAAAATATGCGACGGTAGCTCATGAAATGTTAACTATCGTTAAGTGCGTATTAAAATTTCAAGATGATTTATATAATAAAAAAATTCTTGATAAAATTTGATGCTCAGTCAGTCAAGTATATGTTTGATAAAGATTTTAAAGATGATGCGTCTAAGTTAATATTTGCTAGGTGGTAGGTACAATTAGCCCCTTTTGATTTCGAAATTCATTATAAAAAAGGGAAGTGATAATTCCCTCCCAGACTTCTTATCAAGAGAATATCTTTCTTCTTATGAGTTTTCTTGACTTCTTTCCTGATAAAGATTTGGTTACGATTTTGAAGGTAATTCCTCTTAATAGAGATTTAAAGGAACTTATATTATGGAGAATTATAGACAGAATGGTGATGGCTATTGTCAATGATTACATAATTGAACAAGAGCTTTATGAAAGATTTTATTGTTATGAAGTTTATAACCTCTTGAATGATTAAAAATATCACTTCTCGAATGATTAAAACTAAATGCTATGTTTGCAGAATGGATCCTCCTTGGATAACCAAGGCTAGACGAAAAGGCAGTTATACTCACGGAAGGGGAATATCATCTCCAAGTTTATCAAGATCGTCATACGGATCTTCATCATCTAGTACTCCAATTATACAAAAAGGAGGAGTGCGTTTATATAACTTAAACTCTAGAGCACAAGAAAAAGCTTCGTCATCAATACATCTGGAAGATATTCCAAAAAGTGATCCATTATATGCTAAACTACATGAGTTTCTAACTCAAAAGCAAGGTGATACTTTTGCTTCAATCGCCAAAGAAGAAGTTGATGATATCAAAACATATGTAAATATAGAGAAAAGAGAAATGATATTTCTCTTAGAAAACTCTGACATATAGAGAAAAGAAGAACTTTGGAAGATATTTCAGAGGTATTTAGTTAATGGGCTTTATTTCCCAGGTGAGTCATACAAAACTCAGAAATATTATGAGACTCTGTTGATAAGCACATGTGTTGAATTTCAACATTTTTCAGGATATAATACAAGTGAGAATGTTTATAACTTCTCTAAAATGATTATAAAACACGTTATTCATATTGAAGATTGAGGTACTTCCTCAATGACTGAAAGACAATTCAGTCTGAACAAAGTCATGGTAAGCTTTACCTACTGGGATTATATTCAGGCATTTAATAAAGTCCTCTGTTATAACAATGAGAGGCATAAACATACTTGGTTTATAAAAGTGTGTGCCAAGATATTTGTTAACAAAACTGGTGGTTATACCACGGGCCAACCATAAAAATATTGCCCGAACCATTTCTCAAGTTATACAAAGAATGTGTCAAGATTTCCCCAGATCTCAACAAGTTATATCATCAAGAACATATTTGTTATTTTCAACAAATTGAACAGATTTTTTTTTTATAGAATTCTCTGTTCCATGGATTCACAAATGGGTTCCAGAAGTAGATTTCACTGAGAAACAAATCCCTTGCCTATACAAAACTTATTATAATAATTTTTGGGACAAGTTGATGAAGAAAGATCCTCAAACAAAGTCTATATACGGACAAGAACTGCTGGATCTAATAGCGAAAACCATGCACGATTATAAATCGATTCCTAATAAAGGAATTATGACTGATGATTCAATCTCCGTAAAACACACGACTGGAAAAAATTCTAATCATGATGAATAAGAACAAAATGAAATGATTATGAAGTATCTATAAGAAGTAAAGAAAAAGATTCTTCTAAATGTAAGTCATTACGCAAAATCAGATTCATCAATACGTAGTAAAACAAGTGAAGATATGCACGAAGCTCAACCATATGAAGAAGAAAGTCCAGTGGATGCACTGAAGAAAGACAAAGATTTTTTGGCAAAACTAAAGGACAAGATGTAGCAGTGTTAAGTTTTTCCGGAACAGTAAAACGCCCGGACTACTGTAGCAACACTGTAGCTCAACAGTAGATACACTGTTACCAGGACCCAGATAGGGGCCCAGTATCCTGTACAAAGATGTTTTCTTTCCTATAAATAAGTTTGTTTTTCTTTAATTAAGAAGCAGGTTTTAGAAACCCTCTCTTCCGTTTTGCACTCTTTCTCTTTCTTGTAAACTTTTCTTACTAAGTTTGTAAGCTTGCCGGATTTTGGTCGGAATAATAAAGTGTGCGGTTTGGTAACAACAAGGTACTTTCTTTTCTCATTCTTCCTGCCTTTTACTTTTATAAATTCTCCGATCTAAGCCGTGACTATGTCCGGCTAAAAAATTATATTTATGCCGGATAACTAACTTCTCTCTTATATAGACCATGAACAGATCTAAGCTTTATTTAAATATAGAAGAATTTTAGTATGACTTCTCGACTTGGTTCTGAGATTGAGGTACAGTCGAATCTAGTACTACTTTTATTGGCTTTGTCTTTGTGACTCCGTCTGATGAACCGTGGTTTTTTGCCCGAAAAAAAGTTTGATAAGTAGGGCGTTTGATACCCGGTTAGAACTATCAGACACATGGGCTCAATAAAAGTATTTATTAGCTTCTTGACAAGCCCTTTGCTTGGGTAAAATAATTAAATCATGCAGTCTGAGAAACTATGTTAAAATTCTTGTGTATTTCAATTCTTATGTAGTTGGACTACCTCTAAGGATATTGACTTGCTTGATCTATGACTGGGCGGACCACCGCCAGGTCAGTGATCCTGTATTTTGGTATCAAAGCCTAGGAACTTTCATGGTATATATACATTGATGTGAAGAATTTCGGCATATATATATTCTCTCTTTTATGGATCAAGAAGATATTAAAAGTACTCGATTAGAAGAGGTAGATATACCTTAAAACCTTGATTTGTTAAACAAATGGACTATTCCAAAAGTAAATATAAAAATTATTTATGATTATGGTTGGTTTGATAAAATCTCAAATAAACAGTTGATTAAAACAACTGAGCAATCTTTGGCGTTAAACTCGTCAGAATAAACTATTCGTTTATTAAATAAGCGTGATAATGAATTATATAAATCTCAATATAAATTCTTGCATATTGACATGGTTCAAATTGCTTTCAAGCCTTTGACTCTTAAAGGGTTAACAGAGACTTTCTTAGTTGCTCTTCGTGATGCAAGAAATCATAATTTTCGACAGTCTTTGATGGGTTCGATAGAATCTACAGTGGCCTGTAGCCCAGTTTATTTTAATGCTCAGCCAAATTTGCAGTTATCTTTGACTGATTCTAATATCTTAGATGCTTTAACTTTGAATGTTAAGACGCATGGTTATAACTATGCAGCTGGCTCTGAATTATTCTGCTTGTCTTATAGAATTTATTATAAATTACTTGCTACTTTGAATCCTAGATGTAAGTTATATGATACATCTGATCAAACTATTTTGGTAAAAACTAATTTCGTCAGATCTAAGGTCACTATTAGAAGACCTATAAAATGAGAATAAATTAATTTTCCTACTACTTGGATTCTAGATTCTGTTATACCCCCTGAACAACTGACAGATGTTGTCACCAATTCTGAATATTCTCATATTAGTCAAAATTCCGATGGAAAAATTTGTATGCAGTTTGATGAAAAAAGTGTTCCTTATAATAGACAGTCTTTTGCTTCTGATAGAAGACTGGCTATTCAACATATTTTTCCGATAGAACCTTGTTATGGTCCAGCTAGAAATCGCGCTGCTTCATTGCATACTTTATCAACAGTTATATTTGCAGAAAACAAAAAATAAAATTGATCCTCGGTTAAACATTGTTCAAACAAATGATAAATCATCTAATGTTTCTGATAAGGATATTCTTTCTGTATCCGAGATGGATTTTAATCTTGATGATGCTTAATGATGAGAGAACATCAAATTGATTTTAGTCCAGGTTCACTGGCAAAAAAAATATATTCAAAATGAATTTTTAAATGAAAAATGGAATCGGTTTAAAACTTGGTTTTTTGACACTTATAGTGGAGAAGATTTAAATAATATTTCTCAAGAATTTTATGAAACTTGTGCATCACATAATCATATTAGTTGAATTATTATATAATAGTAATTTAACATTCTAGTTAGAAGTTGCTTTTAGTTAGAGATATACCAATATGAGAAAAACTCTTTGTTTATAACATATAAAGGGTAGTATGTACAAATATATATCGTGCATTATCAGAAAAATCACAACCTATCAAAAAAGTTACAACCTTCGACATGAAAATGTGTATGCTTTAATTAAATATAATATAAATAAATAAAAATATATATTTTTTTTGTTAAGAATATTATAATTATAATAATTGAGCCATAAATATGATATGAAAATTATTTTTCGTTGCCAGTTTATATAATAAAAAATAATGAACTCAAAAATGATTTGAGCTACCCAAATTTGCATTTGCACAAGCAAAAGAAAAGACAGAGAGTCGTGTTGGGCGGGAAAATGAAGTGTCTCACGACTATCGAGAACAAAAAAAAAGAGGTGATTTTTGAAGCCCGCCTCGCTAATTTCGCCTTTCACTCTCTCATTTCTCTCTTTCCTATATTTTGGCGTATCAGTGTCTCCCAGCTCGTACTTAAACCCTACAAATTCAAAAGAAAGTTAAGCTTCTTATTCCATTCAAAGATGGTGGTTCCATGCGTTGCCGAGCTTTCCGATCCTGTCAATGATGCGATGGTCCCGAGACGTTGCAGTGCGAGAATCAAAAATTTGAAGAGTGAGCAGGAAGCTCAGCTTGAGCGTCAGAGAGTACGGTGCCGCTCCAATGACGACTCAGTTCTTGAGAAGAAGCCCAAGGTTTATAAGAAGAGCAAGGTTGTTACTTCCTCACAAGCTCAAGCTCCTAATAATGACGTCACAGTTTCCCCTGTTGATAACGATGACGTCACTATAACCAATGTTGCTGCGCCAAATGACTGTACCGATCATCCTGTTCCCGAAACCTCTCTGAATCCCCAGCTTAGCGGGAACGGGACTGAGAAAAGTTCGCATGCCAGGGTGACAGAGACTATACGGAGATTTAACAAGCATTATCTCCATTTCGTTCAGGTTTCCTCAATTTCCCATTTCATTTTTCCCGATAATTTCCGCAAGCAGACATTTCATAAGACAAGAGAGGGTTCAGTTTTAAAGCATATCTCTATCATGTGTGTATATGATAGTAATGATTTTCTCTCTTGTTGACCGTGGTTAGGAAGAGGAGATAAGATGTGGAAGAGCCCAAGCAGATCAAAAAACAAAGAAAAATTCAAAATCTAAGGTCAGCCCTCTCCCGCCTGTGATGAGTTAAACTAGAAAAGTACATTTGGTTGTTAGAACCATGAAACATATATCAACTTCCAATTTCAGTATCATTTTATTCTCTCCTTACCCCCAAGTTTGTTTTAGTGGTTTGGCCTTTTATTGCTCATTTTGATTTATGTAAGCTATGCAAAACTTGGCAGCCCTTAACGTATTCAGGTTGGTAACACATTTGTGCAGGAAGCCGAAGATGATGGCAAACGCAGTTCCAAGCGGCCTGATCTAAAGGCGATTTCCAAGGCATGTATATCTTCATAAGTCCACATTGGCTGTGATAATAATCATATAACATGTGATACCTACTTGAATGCTTTTTACCAGATCCATGTACTTGTGTGCTAGAGCTAGACCAAAATAATGTAGAGATTCATCAATAACTCTGACATTTTCCGTGGAAATTTGGTATACACTACTATTGGTATCTACTGGTAGATGGGGAAAGGGCCAAACTATGTCTCTTTTAATTACGTTATCAGATCAATCCCCTGAGATTGACTGCCACTCCTCCTGATTTATTAGCATGATAGATCAAATACAATAGGGTGACGAGATTGACTGCCGCTCCTCCTGATTTATTAGCGTGATAGATCAAATACAATAGGGTGACTTTTATTTAGGAAAAGAATCCAAGTAGATATATCACTCAAACTAGCCCCCAAGGCCTAGCTCAAGTGGCAGAAGGTGGAGGATATGTGGCTTAGGTCGCAGGTTCAAGCCCCACGCCATGCAAAGCGAAGCCCGGTATTTAAGTGGAGAAGGGTAGAGGGGCGGGCCCATTATCCACCGAGTTTAGAAGGCTGTGATTGGTCCAAAGGGGCGGGTCACAAACGGATTTCTCGGGTTATACAAAAAAAAAAAAAATATCACTCAAACTAGCCCCCACGGCCTAGCTCAAGTGGCAGAAGGAGGAGGATATGTGGCTCAGGTCGCAGGTTCAAGCCCCACACCATGCAAAGCGAAGCCCGGTATTTAAGTGGAGAAGGGTAGAGGGGCGGGCCCATTATCCACCGAGTTTAGAAGGCTGTGATTGGTCCAAAGGGGCGGGTCACAAACGGATTTCTCGGTTATCAAAAAAAAAAAAAAAAAATATCACTCAAACTACAAAGTTTCAGTTTGATGGTTACTAAATCGATTGAATGTAACTTTTGAAGTGTGAAAGTGTACTGTTCATGCTGCTAAAGTTTGAACCAGTGCCTCGAAATTTATGTTGAGTCTGTTCAAGACTCTTGAACTTCTGCAGTAATCTAAGTGACATATAATGGAAGCCTTTTGTATGCTCTAGTATTTGGTCTTCCCAGCCATTTATAATTGAATGATTCCTAGTTCTCCTTTTCTTTATTTTATGTCAGTCTGATTGTGTACCAAGTTAAAATGATGAAAAACTTGAGAGTTTGGCAAATGCTACATGATTCTCCAAATTTGCATGGATTAGATTCAACTTTTCTTTAATATTGAAACTTATAATGCCTATCCACATGACTAGTAATAAGTATTATAGATCTCGGCAGTCGTCAGTCAGTACTCATTTCTCTCATGCTCAATTTTTTAAAAAATATTCTAATGCAAGAGATATAATATTAGCCTATCTTTTTTATTGATCGGTATTATTAGCCTATCTTTAAATTTGTTTGACCGTGATTTTTGTTAAAGAAATGAAGATATTTAGCACCCATGTATGCTTTTGTAGTGGTCTAAGGGTAAATTTGTCTAGGAAGAGTAGAAAAGTAATGAGAATAGCGGTAAAACTGAACCTTGTTTATCATTTTGAATTGGAACAAACAGTTGGATAAATGATGTTTCTTTTTTATTAAGATCAATGACTTGAAACTACTTTATTCTAAAAAGGAAATAAAAAGAACCAAACATGTATAAAAGCTATAATTGTAAACCACGATTGAGTCTATGGAAGCATTGGTACAGCTTCCATCACTTATCTCTAGTGTTACCAATCATCTTTTGTTTGTTAATAGTAATGAAGTGATTTAATTATTGTGCAAGAGGTTGTATTCTATTTGCTTCACACGTTTGTCAAAATTTGAGTCTTTTGGAGTAAATCTACTTTCGTACTATTGATTCTTAATGAGAAAAACTTGCAGATGATATCAGAAAAGGAGGTTTTGAATCGTGAGAGAATTGGCTCCCTTCCAGGTTGATTGTCTACTCTTGTTATATGTCTCGTGATATGATTGATTTATCAAATGATGGATATTTGTGTATGACTGTGAATTATATAAACCTCCATTTGCTTTTCTTAGGAGAACCACTTCTTGCTTCTATAAGCTAAGTGGATTGGAATTTCAATTTGCTGACCTTTTTCCAAGTTTAGATACATTTACCCCGTATAGAAAAGATATGTGCACCTCTTGTACTCTTATCAATGCAACCTAAAGAAGATAATTAGTTCTCTCAGTTTCTCCTTCTCTGACTTGGATTTTCACATGTATTAAAAGGCTCTATGATATCAGTTGAGACTTAAGTAGCTTTGTCTAACAATGATTGCCCTTTTGCTTAATATTTTTTCTTCTTCTCATAGTTTTCCCGAGTCTTTTGTTTTTTGGTGATTATTTCTGCTGCATCATTATTGTGTTTTCATCAATAATATTTTTTGGCAATTATTCTAATGGCAACTTTGTTTTTCTCTTGGTAACTAAGCCTGTAAGCCGATGTAACTGTGTTTATTTTCAGTGATTATCATGGTGATAATGCCTCTTTCCCCTTTTCAACTTTCATGGATGCAACCCTGTTTTTCATCTTGTTTGACCACTTCTTTAGTCTGTCTGGTCAGTAAACAGCCGTTGTTCGGCAAACACATGCTATGGTCAGTTAGTGTCACGTCAGTGCATTTGGCTGTTTAATGACTCATTATTCATTAACTAGTTGGTATTAGTTTTATACAACATCACCCTACTTTCTATTTAGCATCGTGTTACTGTTCAGCTACACACCCACTGTTCAAATTAGCAATTTGTCAGTGCCTCATAAATGTCCACTGACATGTCACTGTTCCAACAGCAACCACACTATTGTGTGTATTTTTATTGAGTAAATATTTTTCTATCTATAGTCATCATGTGTCAATCTGTTAACCTTTTTGCAGTAAACTGATTTTATTTTTTATTTGATAACTCAAAATACTTTGTTACCTCGAATTTGAACAACTTGAGTTTAAGGGAGATTGTTGAAAGTCAAGATAGATGTTGCTTAGTAAATATGTCACTGTCATCTTCTATGTATTTTGTTTACACATGTATTTGTAATTACTACTCCCTCTGTCCCATTTTATATGATGTACTTTGATTTGGCACAAACTTTAAGAAAAATGGAAAGACTTTTAAAACTTGTGGTCCAAAATGAATGATAGAAATTTGTGTGGTTGTAAATCATTTCATTAAGGGTAAAAAAGACATTTTATAGGCAAATTGTTACTTAAAATAGAAATGTGTCATTCTTTTTGGAACAGACTAAAAAGGAAAGTGAGTCATATAAATTGGGACAGAGGGAGTACTATATTACACTCTTGGCTTAAGTGTTTGAAGTCATGAAGTTTACCATATCAAAAGGAAAATAAAAAAAAAGTTCTCTCCATCTCTCTCTCAGATTTCATGGTTCCAACATGTTATCTCTACATGTATTAAACAATTATAATTTCTTGCGTTTGAGTCAAACCTGTCCAGTGAATACGAAGAGGGAATTTCTTAGTTTGATAATGTGATTTTAAGATTTTTTTACACAGCATATAACCTTTTTCTTTTGCAGAAAATGCAATGGAAACTGATTAACTATCTGATTTTCAAAAAAATAAATGTTTGCATTTTGACCAAATGTATACATATGTGGCATACTTTGGCTCTAGAAGATGAAAACTTTGATGATGGTGGAACAACAAGTTTCTAATAGAACACATCTAGAGATTAGATCTTTTACTTATGCGTCATTTAACTTCTAGTAAGCCTGTACGACATTAGCGTTTGTTCTTGTCCTTTACATTTGAAAATCCAGTCAATCTATATGGTTTAATGGTATGTTCTGCAGTTAAAATATGTTTTGGGGTGGCTGTATCTGTTAGTGAGTTTTAGTTTTGAGTTTCTTGTGGCAGGCATTGATGTTGGTCATCAGTTCTTTTCGCGTGCTGAGATGGTCGTTGTGGGATTCCATAACCATTGGCTAAACGGCATTGACTGTGTTGGCCAATCTGCAGGGAAAAAAGGGGTATATCGTTGGCATTTGAGTTTGAGTAACAGTTGACTAGCTAAAAGAATTTCAATCTTGAATTACGAATTCTTCCTTGCTCAACCTAGAATAGTGAATGATGTTTTGCTTGTTATTTTTCTAATTCATTTCCTTCAGATATCAAGAGAATACCATTTTTCCTTTTGACATTTATGGGCGTTATCTAGAAACAAACATTTTCAAAGAATGTTACTTGTGCCTCAAAGGAAGAAAATAAGTTGTATCATGAAGGATGCTTATTATCTGGTTTGTTGTTAGGGAAACTTTGATCCTTCATGTGCACATTCCATTATGGCCTAGTTTATTGTAACAATAAAGACATCTAGAAATCTTAATCTTTTCATTAGACATTTTGCTCTTCATTTTCCTAGTCTTTACTTTGAACAGTCATAGTGAAGTGCATTGAACTATTCCCTACAGATATGGTTCTTAAGTTTCAACGAGAATCAACTGTGGAAAGTGATAAAATGAAGTAATTAACTATTCACTTGTATAACCCTTCGATGTTAAAGGTTTTTTTTTGGTGCATTGGATTATTTTTGATTGCTCACGACTTAAGTTATTACAGGAAATTCAGTTCATTGTCTATATTTGATGATAATAAAATGATACTGAACTCTTATTGACTCTCACGTGTGAAGTATCTATGGGTATTGCTTTTGTTGTTAATGTACACTCATGAGCTGCTGAAGGCAGTTCTTTTGTCTGGAGGCTTATACATGTCTTCTCTACCCTATTACACTATATTTTCCTGAATGTCTTCTACATTTTTCTTTCTCTCCTTTTCGTTTTGATAACTTAATATATATGATCCCTTCACATCATTAGGAGTACAAAGGCTACAGTTTGCCCCTTGCGGTATCAATTGTCGTATCGGGACAGTATGAAGACGACCAGGACAACTATGAAGAAGTGGTCTATACTGGTCAAGGTGGAAATGATCTTCTTGGTAACAAGCGCCAAATAAAGGATCAAGTCATGGAACGGGGTAATTTAGGGCTTAAGGTTTGCTTTTTTCTTCTTTCTTTGCAACTACTTTTTGTTTTTTATTTTTATTAACACCTCTTATTCTGAATTGAATATATTATTTTCTGTTTTCAATGTGTGATAGGTTAGCTAACACTCCCTTTGTTCCAGTTCATGAGACTCTGTTTTTACTTGGGATTCTCCAAATGTTTGATACAGTTCCATTTCTATAGAAATTTGACAACTCTCAAGAATGCAATTACATAATACTATCCAAATTATAAACCTAGATGTGTTGTTTCTTTATCTAACTGATTTTGCTAACAACCATTACCTTAATTTTTTCCTCTACTATGTTTATACAAGTCAGATTTAACATCTTAATCCGTGCTATAAGACAAATACCTGTTCTTTAAAACCGCGGAAAAGGCAGTAACTCTTATGGATGAGCATTAAAAGAAAGACTCATTTTATCCTCTCTTCTTTGTGCTTTCTCAAGCATAAGGGAGACTTGTAAAGAAAGGGGCATGTCGTTCTCAGGTGAACTGAGTCTTCCTACACTGTGTGAGTCCTTGCATGTGTTTAGTAGGGGAAATAGGAAATGTCACTCTGCTTTAATTTCTTTTGCTTTAGTAATAGTGATAGACACACAGTTTTGTTATAAAATCTATTAGTATAACTTTCTTTTAATAGGTCAATTATCAACCGCTTGATGTGCTTCTACCTTTTTGTTTGTCGAATAGGATTAATGCGTTTCCTTTGCTTTCAATTTGTTTGTCTAACAATGAAGAATAGTGGGGATGAGTGGAAAAGTGATATTTACCTAAATAAGCAGTTAGAAAGATGCTCAATTCTAAATTATGTATTTGATGAGATTTTTAGTTTGGTTGTTTCACTGAGAAAGAAAACATAAATTCGAATTAGGGAAGTATATTGTTTTTGAATTAATGCCAAGGATAACAAATAAGCCAAAGATAAAATAAAAAGCTTGGAAATGTTTTTTCAGCAACAACTTTTCTGGTGAGATTTTGGTGATCTTGTTTTGATATTTTTTGATAAGCAACTCAAGTTGGTTTTTCTTTTCCACCTTGAGTTGGCAAAAATATTGACTTCGAGGTGTGATTAAAATATGATAATGATCAATTGGTCAAATTGGTGCTTTGTTGAAGTGATTTATATAGTAACACTTATTGTTCTATCTGTTGATAGTGTTCCTGCTGTGGTGTTTTGCGGATAAAGTTACAGATTTCTAGTAGGGGTGGGCATTCAGTACTTCGATTTTCGGTTTTTCAATGGTATATATCAAATACCAATCCAAAGTTAGTTAGGTTTGGTTTATATTGTTCAGTATGGGTTCAATTCTTCGGTATGATCTTGGTATATTAGACTATTTTTCTGCTTGAAAAACTGGTCTATTTTCTATCTAAAAGTTGGCTTAACTTCTAATTTGCATCAACTTTTTGAATAAGAGATCTACAGACATTAGCATCTTACCTAATATACAGCAACTAAAGCCCTTTGGACTATAAAATTCAATATACAACAATTGTAATTATAATAGTTCTGTATTTCGGCTGAACCGATATACCTATATATTAAAACTTCATAACCAAAAACTGTACCGAAGACCGATTTTACAATTACAGAGAATTACAGAGAAGAAACAAATTCCAGGAGTAATCTCAAGGAATATGAACAGCAAGTTCAGGGATTAAACTCGAGAATTCAGCTAAAGAGAGAAATATAGAGAGAAGAAAACAATCTTATTAGCAATCAATTGAATGAATGTCAATGATCTAATACAATCCTTTTATAGGCTCCTAGAGAGTGCTAAAACAGTTAAATTCCACAGCTACAGTAATAATAGAATTTAACCATCTAACAGTGCTAACTGTTCTAACTAACTTTTGGATTTGTTAACAGAATTTGCCACATCAGCGATTAATTCTCCTTTTGCTAACTTGTATCAATACCCCTACGTAAAGAATAGACTTGTCCTCAAGGCTGAAAAGAGGGAAATCGATGCTGCAATTCAGAAAGATATTCCCAAGTTGCCTGATCAGCTTCCAAACCTAACCACTGGACAAGCACTTGACACACAACTTTGTTACCCTTCTTAACCAACCTCCTCTCAAGTATAGCTTCAAGTGTCGGACTGTAAAGCTGTAGAACTGGAGGATGAGAAATGTCACGAGGCACCTCATGGCATCTCGAGCTGAGAAACATGAAAAATGGGATGGATCAACACATCAACATGAAGCAACAATTTATAGGCCACTGCACCAACCCGTGCGTCAATAAGATAGGGGCCATAATACTTTGCTACTAGCTTGTTGAAAGGTCGAGCAACCACTGAAACTTGTCTATAAGGTTGCAGCTTCAAATACACCCAGTCACCAACTGCAAATACCCTGTTTGATCTATGTTTGTTAGCCAAGTCCTTCATCCGTTGTTGTTCCCGACTGATGTGAAGCTTAAGCAACTTAATAATTGCCTCTCTTGCTTCCAAGGACTTGTCAACCATCTCGTTAGCCGCTTGTCCAACCAAATAAGGGAGATGAATAAGTGGTTTTTGACCATAAATAACTTCAAAGGGCGTGCATCGGATAGCAGTGTGATAAGTGGTATTATACCACCACTCTGCAAGTGGTAGATAGGAGGGCCAAAGCAGAGGTTTGTTTGAGTAAAAACACCTCAAATAGGTTTCCAAAGTTCTATTCAGTACTTCAGTTTGCCCATCAGTCTGGGTGATATGCAGTGGATCGTTGCAATTGAACTCCTTGTAGAGTGAACAACTCTTTCCAAAATGAGCTGAGGAAAACAGGATCCCTATCACTCATCAAGGTAACAGGCATACCATGGAGTTTAAAGACGTGATCTAAGTAACATTGAGCTACATCTTGGACAGTATAAGGATGCTGCAAGCTTATGAAATGGCCATATTTACTAAGCCGATCCACAACCAGTAATATCACATCCTTGCCCTTAGCTTTAGGGAGACCTTCAATAAAATCAAGACACACATCAGTCCAGACCCCGTCAGGAATGGGCAGGGGTTGTAACAACCCTGGGTAAGCAGCAACATCATACTTGTGCCGTTGGCAAACATCACACTTGTGGATAAAGTTTCTAATATCCTGAACAAGAGACTTCCAATAAAATAATGATTGAATTCTTCGGATAGTTGCATCCATTCCAGAATGCCCACCTTGAGTGGTAGAGTGCCATAGGGTAATGATGGTATTCCTTAACTGCGTATCATGTCCAACTACTAGTCTACCCTTCCATCTGAGTTGGTCATTGCACCAAGTAAAGTACTTGAAAGGGCGAACCTGCAACTTAACAATAAACTCTCGCAATGTTGCATCTTGTGTCCAAGTGTCCTTGATCTGTTGGTACAACGTATCATTAGGACTAAGAAGTGAAATAGCTAAGAGCCAGCATCAGGCTTCCTTGATAAGGCATTAACAACCTTATTCCAGAGCCCTTCTTGTACTCTATGGAAAAATCAAAAGCCATCAACTTTGATATGCCAGCCACCTGAAAGTCTGTATGAATATGTTGGTTGAGTAAATGTTTCAAAGCCTTTTGATCTATCCTCACCACAAAGGATTTGCCCAACAGGTAGTGAGACCACTTAGTGCCAATAACTCTCAAAAATAAGTGCCAATAACTCTCTATCATACACTGACAAGGCTTGGTGCCTCGATGCCAAGGATTTACTAATGTAGGCAATAGGGTGTCCCTGTTGCATTAGCACAACTCCAATACCTCGACCACTAGCATCTGTCTCCACTACAAAAGGCAAGGAAAAATCTGGCATAGCAAGTACTGGGGCAGAAATCAAAGCTTGTTTCAGTGTCTCAAAAGCTGTAGTCGCATCATCTGTCCACACAAACCCTTCCTTCTTTAATAAGTCATGCAATGGTCTACATATGCTTCCAAACCCTTGGATGAATCTCCTGTAGTATCCTGCAAGCCCCAAGAATCCTCTCAATAGTTTGATATTAGTTGGTATTGGCCAATGTTGCACAACCGTAATCTTTTTGGGATCAGTTGACACTCCCTCAACACTAATAAAATGCCCCAGATATTCCACCTTATCCACTGCAAAAGCACCACTTTGACATCTTTGCATACAACTGATATTGTTTCATCAAATCAAATACAACTTCCACATGAACTAAATGAGCATTAATATCTTTGCTATAAATCAAAATATCATCAAAGAATACCAATACTGATTTCCTCAATAATGATTTAAAGACTGCATTCATCAAATTCTGAAATGATGAAGGTGCATTGGTTAAGCCAAATGACATAACCAAAAATTCATAGTGACCTTCATGAGTTTTAAAAGTTACTGGAGAAGCATATGGGCTAGTAGTACTATGTTGCACCACACCTTGATCCAACATCTCTTGTACTAATTTTTCAATGACATCTTTTTTAATTCCTGGATACCTATAGGGTCTCTTGTCAATGAGGGGAATTCTATGATCAAAAGAACCTCTGTGAGGTGGTAATGTAGTTGGCAATTCAAATAAGCAGGAGTACTGACTAATTAATGCAGCAAATGATGGTAAAATTCCCTCACCTTGAATGGCTTGAATGCTGTGACACTGCGATACTTCTACTGTCTGAGGTACATGTGACAACATGAACAGCTGCCCCTCCTTAGCTAAGGTCTTAGCTTTAACAGACTTCAGACTAGTGCTAGCCCCTCTTAATACATGTTTTTTGCCCTTGTAAACAAACTCAATGGACCTATGTTTAAAATCAAAGAAAATTCTGCCCAATGTATTCAACCATTGTACTCCTAAGATTATATCCACATTTCCCAATGGTAAAAGCAAAAAATCAGAAGAGAATGTGGTGCCCTGTAATAGCCAGTGAAGATTCTTGCAAATAGCAGTGCTTTGCACTTCTCTACCATCAGCCACACTTATAGATTGTTCTTGAATAGAGCTAGTCTGACAATCCAACTTTGTAGCCACTTGCTTATCTATAAAGTTGTGAGTGCTCCCAGTATCAATCAAAACTTGCAGTGGTTGTTTTTCATGGTATCCTGTTACTCTTATGATTTGATAACCAGTGACCCCTGTAAAAGCCTGTAATGATATAGCCATAAATTCATCTGTCTTCTCCCACACCTCTTCTATCTGTTCCTCTTCTACTTCAACATTTAATTCTTCTTCCTCAACTACTTCGACCAGATACAGTTGCTTCTTTCCCCTGCAGTTATGTCCCTTCACATATTTTTCATCACAAAAGAAACACAACCCTTTTGGATCTCCTTTCATCCATCTCTGCTGCCGATAGCCTTTTAGTAACACCATTATTAGGGAATCTATTAATCCTATTAGGTGCAGATGCAATGGGTTTCGTGAATGTGGAATTGGAATAAGAATTTCTTTGGGACTACTGAGGTTTAATATGGCCAGCCGTGGGTAATATAGGACCTTGGACTTTAGGAAAAGATTTGATTCCCCAAGATTGAGCTTGAGCTTCAAACACCTCCTCTTGCAACCTAGCTACCTTATAGGCTTGCAACAAAGTTTTTGGAGCATGTATTCTAATAGACTTGTTCAACTCCCTCTTCATACCTCCCAAAAAACAACTAATGGCATTTTCATTGGAGAGATTAAGTCCAGTTAATAACCTATCAAACTCAAGCCTGATACTCCCTCACACTACTAGTTTGTTGTAAGTTCTTTAGGGCTTCCATGGGATCTTCAAAACCCTCTCCAAACCTTTCATTCAATGCTAACACAAATTCAGTCCAAGATGGATCTAAAACAGAGTTTCTTGACCTAATGTAGGACCTGTGCCATGCCATAGCTTCACCTTCAAAGTGGATAGAAGCCACTTTCACCCTCTGCTACAAAAGGTATTTCATCCATGGAGAAGAATTGATCAACTTTGTACAACCAATTTCTTAACTTACCACCAGAAAAACGAGGGAATTCTAATCTAGAATAACGATTGAAAAACGTACTATTGTAGTTAAGATCATTACCAGTATGCATATCATTGAATCGAGCTCCTTGCGGCATTTCTCCTAAACAATCTCGACCAGAATTAGATTCTGCCCTAGCTGGATCCTTTTCTTTCCCCTTCTGATTCAAATACCCAATTGCTTCCCTAATTTCTAGCAATTCCTTATTAGCCTGTGCATTGCGATCGTTCATAATAGACATTCCTTCCATCAATTTCTGTAACTGGGTCTGAATTTGGTGAAACTTGTCCTCTGCTTCCGCTTGACTTTTGCTGCGCGTCATCAAATCAATGCCAAGGATTGCTTGCTCTGATACCAATTGATACAATTACAGAGAATTACAGAGAAGAAACAAATTCCAAGAGTAATCTCGAGGAATATGAACAACGAGTTCAGGGATTAAACCCGTGAATTCAGCTAAAGAGAGAAATATAGAGAGAAGAAAACAATCTTATTAGCAATCAATTGAATGAATGTCAATGATCTAATACAATTCTTTTATAGGCTCCTAGAGAGTGCTAAAACAGTTAAAATCCACAGCTACAGTAATAACAGAATTTAGCCATCTAACAGTTCTAATCAACTTCTGGACTTGTTAACAGAATTTGCCACATCAGCAATTAATTCTCCTTTTGCTAGTTTGTATCAACCGAACTTTTTCAAAATCAAAATTAATACCCGTTTGGCCGTGATAAATTTTCACTTTTTCCAGAAAATTATTTCACTTTATTCAAAAAACAGCGTTTGTTCATGAAAATTCCAAATACAACTTCAAGTTGTATTTGGAAATCACCCAAAACCTTGATTACAGTTTTTTCACTTTCACTTTTTTCACTTTTACTGTATTTTTCTTTGTCAAATTGTAGCCTAAATTTTTTTCTTTTATAATAATAACCCATTTAAATTATATTTCATATTTAAATCATGTTTCATGTTTTTTTTATAGGAAAAATACACTCAAACAAACAAATATTATTTGCAAAATTTATAACCAAATACTACAACTTCAAAAATTTCAAATAAAGTGAAAACATATTTGCAATAGTATGTAATAGCTCGTATATGAGAATTTAATCTTAGAGCAAATTTGATTTTATGTTTCTGGTGAATTAGTCAAGTTAAGTGATTTTTCTACTTTATAAAAAATTGGGGTTATAAATCATATTTAGAAAAAGTAATTTCAAATTCTAAATATTCTTTGCAAAAAGTATGGCCAAACACATCTTCACCTTCAAAAATTCCAAATAAAGTGATTTTTTTGGTTTTCATGGCCAAACACCCACTTATTTGGCTCCGTCTGTCTTTTTTTATGCCACCCCCTACTTTTAAGGACTTGATTGGTATTTTCTTGGCACTTTCCTATATTTCTTTCTGCTGAAAAACCTTCACAACCAATGGCGTTTAGTTTTACACATAGTTGTGCTCATTAGTTTTCTTAAGTCCTTATTCCTTTAGAGTGGTCAAGTTGTTGAATCTACATTGCTTGCTCTCTGTTTGCAGAACTGTATGGAGCAATCTGTACCTGTAAGGGTTACACGTGGACATCGGTGTGTGAATAGTTACGTTGGAAAGGTTTATACATATGATGGCTTGTATAAGGTAATCAATATTGTTTTTCTTCATCTTTGAATCCCAAAATAAATTCTTTATGAAATATGTAAATGCTGACTGTGTTTGTTAAAGTTGAGTCATATTTCTATCTGTTGATATGCAGTTTGTCATTCAGCTTCCCATCTTTGTTCTATTTATTGGGCTTGCTTAAATGGGTCATTTAAGAGATAGTAATAGTATGTACTTAAACTGCTGTTGCTAGCAGGAACCAAAGATAGAAGAGAAAATGGAAGCAACATTCAGTCAACATATGGATGTGTTGGTGTTGGCTATGTAGGGTGATTTAGGATTTTGAGTGGCTTATATGCTTAATCTCATGATATTGGGCCATTTAGTCAGGTCAGATGTGGATTCTGACTATAACATGTTTGATTATGCAGTCCTGACCAATATATCAGATATTTCTCTAAATGGGTTATATGGCCATCAATTTGAAAAGGAGAAATGATGAAAAGAAGTAAAAGAATTATCAGTGATGTCACTTTTCAACCTTCTGTTGTTTGTGGAAGTCAATTTTTTTACTTTCTTTAAATTGTGGTGGTGTAGATTTTGGGTGCTGTGCAAATGTTAAAGCATTGATGCAGTCATGCATTACAGTAGTTTAGTTTTCTTTTGCAGGTTGTAAATTACTGGGCAGAGAAGGGTATTTCTGGATTCACGGTCTATAAGTTCCGATTAAAGCGTATTGAAGGACAACCTGTGTTGACCACCAACCAGGTTTCTTTCCTTTTTAACTTGACTTCTTTTGCAGTGGTATCTTGTGGTTTAATTTGAATTTTTGTTCCTGTGCCCGAATACTAAGTGTCTTCTTTGCACTCTGAGATTCTCTTGGAGTTTGGGAGACTACAAAACAATGAATAACATAAATACCCTACTTGTGAAAATGCTCTCAGGCATGATTGTCGAAGCATGACTTGAACCTTTCCAAAAACTTTCTTTTTCACTCCGGTGGTCCTTCTGATCACCGGAAACCACCATTAACATCTACTTTCTTTCTCCTTCAAAACCCTCTTTTCGTCATTATGGAAGACTGTTTTTACTTCGCGTTGGGTTTTAAGTCCTTCGACATCGAGAGAATCATAGGGACGACAGGGGATTGGTATGAATGGACAAAAAGGAGTAGGAAAGCAATCACAAGATCATCTATTAGCAAGAAATTGATGGACTGGATTGTCCAAGTTCTTCCATAGACGTCGAAAGGAAAAGGAAAAGTAGTCAGAAGATGGAAGAGAACAGAGTCATTAGCAGAAATTTTTTGTGCGAGAAATTTCAACAATTATGGTAGATACATCAGCTTGATAAATGTCAGTGGCAGAAGGAGATCAGTTATCATCATCCCACAGCTGACCTTCAACTCTGGTTGGGATATCATAGCGGACAAAGTAAGGAGATTCATTTTCTCTCAAAAGATGGAAGAAAACAGAGTGAAGTACAGACTAGTTGAAAACAACTTCCCATATCAGAGACTCTGAAGAGCATTAAATGAAGGAACAAGGAAGGAGGTGCGGTAAATACCAAACCAGCACTAATGAAGGGGGGGACCTATTTGCATTGATGACACTTCTTGTACACAAAGTGAAGTGTTGCATAGAAGTCTGGTGGGTAACTTTGAAGTGTCGGAAAAAATGTCACCTTCACTGAATGAAATCAGGAGGTGGGCCAATAAAACTTGGAAACAAGCGCATGGATTGAACATCTATGAGATGTGGAATGGTAATTTCTTGTTCGAATTCCCAGGTAAGACAACGGCGGAGCAAGTGATCTCAGGGGATTGGATCTGGAACAAAGTGATACTCCGATTGAAATGGTGGAGCACGACAAGGGTAATCCTGGAAAAGGATAACAGTAACAGTTCCACATGCTGGTCACAGAAAGTCTTTAAAGCCATTGGAGATTGCTGTGGAGGATGGATCGAAACTGAGGAAGAGACGCAGTTATGAAATCACCTCAAATGGGCAAAGATTAGAGTTAAAAGGAGATGGAACAGAAATCCCAAAAGAGGTGTCCATCCAAAACACTGGCATCATTTTCTCCATGTAGTTGTGGTCAGAACTCCCAGCAAAAATCTCCATTGGAGAAGAGAGGAAGGGGGGGGGGGGGGGGGGGTATAGCTACCCCAAAGTGTCAAACTGAATATCCTTCTTCGGAAAATTACGTTGTATATATATGTCAAATTCTACATTTAAAGGATATATATTTAAA